GGTTGAGGGTTTAGGATTAAGGGATATGCAGGGATGTTCCCCTCATAGCAGAAAATCATACGGAAAAGAAAACGGAAAGTTAAATAATACTGTTTAGGGTATAGGGTACCTCTTTACGCATAGAATTTGAGAAAGCATCCTATGGAAACTGGCAAGGCTAGAAGGGAACTTCTTTGTTTCCAGCCTGACCAGCAATGGCTGCTCCAAGTTATGCTTTGAAGCGAAGCACACAAACCACAAAACTGGCGGGACACCACTGCAGACCAAAAACCCTAAACCCTAACTTAAGGGGGACCGTTGGCTACGGACGATATCAGCCCTGAAGCCCCAGACACAGGAGCTCGAACAGCCACCCATGTACTGCCCTCACCCTAATATCAACCGACCACCCCCCAATGTAGGGTTTAGGGTTTAGGGTTTGGGCTTTAGGCTTGAGGGTTCAGGGTTGAGGGTTGCCTGCATCTTGGAACATACCACAATGGGAACATTTACTATCTGGGGTTGAGGGGCCTCAATATAAGGACAAGGAGAGTAGAGGAAGGACCTTTTGCTCTTGCCGAAGCTTGCGTGGCACACCCCTACAAGCCAACTTTCCATTTGATTTTGCATATTCTCCTTCATCAGATGATCAACTACTAGTAATTTGGCCCTGAACACTTTGCAACCCCATATAATACCCATACCTATTTATTCTCTATACATCCTTATACGATTCATCGGTGTATACCCCTACCCTAAACCCCTAAACCCTAAACCCCTAAACCCCTAAACCCTAAACCCTCAACCCAAACAAAACAGCTAGGCAACTTTGGCAGGGCATCATCATGATTCCGCTTCGCCAGGGCGCGGATATGTCTGACCTGCTCTGATGAGCTGGGTTTAGGGTTCAGGGTTTAGGGTTTAGGGCTGCGGCAGGGTACCGTGACACTCCCTTAACTTACCTTTGGTTTGCTAGGAACGAAGGAATGGATCCCTGTAGTAGTTTCCCTATATAACCCATTATAGTAGTTTCTATATTTAGCTCATTCTAATAATAGTTTCCATTTTCTTTGTCAATCCTTCATTCCCAGCTAATCAGAGCTACGCTAAAGACTCAGGTCGTGACAGCATTCCTCTGGCAGTCCACAAGCTTGGCAGCTTCGGAAAACTCCGTGGGTGGCACTACCAGTCGCCAATACGCCTAGCCAGATGGCTGAACATCTCCTTGCTTACCTTTGGCGAGCTGGGAATGAAGGAATGGAAAATAAAATGGAAACTACCATAATGGGCTATATAGGGAATGGACTATAAGGATCCATTGACGCATTCCGAGCTAACCAGAGGTAAGCTTGAGTCAAACCCTCAATGGCTGACTCAAGGCCTGCGCATCATCTCTGATACCGGCCTGCATCAAGCCGGCGCATAATAACTTGCGGCTGGCAATGACTGATGCCTACATTACCATAAGATACTAGAATATACCATACAATATATTATACTATAGCATACCAGAATTTACCATAATATACCATAATATACCATAACATACCATAATATACCATAGTATACCGTCATATACCAAAATATACTATAGTATACCATAGTATACTATAAAATGCCATAATATACAAGACTATATCATAAGTATACCTTAGGAGGACCCCACCCCGCCCGTAGTAGTGGTAAAATAAGAATATAAGAGGACCTAATATGATCCCCATTATCCCTTATAGCCACTATTGCTGGGTGGGGGTTCCACCTAAAGTATATCAAAGGATATTATAACATACCATAATATACAAAAATGGCCTCCAAGAGGCTCATCCTCAGCTTCTCAGGATCCTCAGATTCCGCACCACCTCGCTGCCTCAGCTCCGCAGGAATCTAGGGATATATACCCCATTATAGTATATTCTGGTAGTATATTCTGGTAGATTATAGTATATTATGGTAGTATTACGGGTAGATTATGGTATATTATGGTAGATTATGGTATAATATGGTCTATTATAGTATATTATGGAATATTATCACATATTATGATATACTATGGTATATTATAACACATTGTACTATAATTACTATAATATATTGTACTATAATAGCGTCCATTTTCTTTTCCATTATCCCTATATAACCTCAATATTCTATAGTTGTTTCCAGTTTATTAACCATTACCCACATATAACCCCAATATATACCCCGATATAACCCTATTATACTACAGTACCACCAGTTGTATGGACAGCAGCAACCGGGTCACCCGGCCCATGCTTGGCTTCCATCTGCTTGCGTCGAATCTCGAAGAGACGCAAGCTCCCACCCATGCGCGCAACATACTGCCGGAATTCCACCAGACTCATCTGGCGATCCTGGCTGCGCGCAAAGTGCCGAAGCTAAGCAATCTGTGAAGTTTCTCAAGTTGGGCTCCTTTGGGTCTTCAAATGAAAAAATCAGTGACCATGATGTTTGAAACATGTCCACCTGACCCGCACAGCAAACTGCCGAGGACAGGACTCCATCCGTGTCGACAGCGGCGAGTAGCTTTTCCACATCTTCGTCTTCCTGCAGGGCATGGGGGTCCGATTTGCGTGGGAGTGCTGCAGGAACGAAAGGGGGAAGGGATCTCAGTTTGCGAGGCCAGGGTGTTTTGCTGAGAGTGTATGGCGTTACTTGCAATAGACATCTTAGCGAATATGCGTACAGGTACAGAGACTATGTCTGTGTATGTGTATATGCGGGGCCGCAAAAATGAGAAAGTTCTTGCGGGAGTGAATTCAAAACACTGAATCCCTGGACAGATCCTAAACCCTAAGCCCTCAACCCTAAACCCTCAACCCTAGACCCTCAACCCTAAGCCCTCAACCCTAAACCCTCAACCCCTAAACTCTCAACCCCAGACCCTCAACCCTAAACCCATTCAACCCTACCCCGAAAGAAACCATTTCTCACTGC